AACACCTCCACACTGGCAGAAACGTAGCAACACGTAATACTAAAAGAACAAATAAAGATGATTAACACCACTCCGAAGGTCGATCAAACGCCCCATGCACATTTGTCCTGTTATTGCATTTTGTTTCACGACTGAAAGATTTAAAACAATGGGCAAGTGTGTTCTCAGCAACTTGTGCCTTCAGAAATCACCGTATAAAGAGTGGGTAAGAGAAGTCAAGGGTGACAAGCACAAGGCACGATGCATCATGTGCATGAAGGATGTTGACATTTCGAGCATGGGAGAGTTAGCGCTCACAAGACACTAAAAGGAAAAAAAACATCACACACTGACATCCCAGAAAAGGTCATTAGTAAGCATTCCAGTTTTTTTTGGCGTTTCTTCTCAACGACCAGCAACTAAAAGTGATAATGCCAAAGAAGTTTCGAAATCCGCTTCATCTGAAAGCGGCAAACACAAGCTTAACTCCACAAAGTCTATCACTGCGAGTTCAGTGATGGAAAAAGTGTCACTCGTGATGAGACGTTGAAGGCAAAAATTTTGTGGGCATTGAAAGCGATAAAGTCTCATTACTCCTATAAATCATGCGAAGGTACAAGCAAATTGTTTCAAGTGATGTTTCCTGACAGTAGGATTGCGAGTCAGTTTTCATGTGGAGAAAAGAAATGTGCATACTTGATGTGTTGGGCTTGCTCCACACTTCAAACAACTTTTGAAGGACGTTGTGAAAAAAGAAGAGGCTTATGTACTAATATTTGACGAGAGCTGTAATAGCGTGTGCCAGTCAAAGCAAATGGATATTCACATTTGTTCATGGAATCAGGACAAACATGAGGTTGAAAGTCGCTATTATTATGCCTCAGTGTTTATGGGTCATGGCCGGCACAGTAGACGACATGCTTTCTCCTTTTCGTTCAGGCATAGAAGGAATTTCTCTCAAAAAAGTTTATCAGATAGGATGCCACTCTTGTGTTTGCATAATTTAAATAAACATAACAGACCAAAGATAAACATGGGAATGTCAGACAATTCCCCCCCTGGACAATTTAAGCCCCAGACAACTCGCCCCTGATCTTCAGACAACTGGCCCCCAATATGAAAACACTTGTGTTACATTGGACAAATATACTTTTATGCTGATAAAGTAATCATTTCTTGAAAGAAGAGAAAAGTTTGTTTTTTAAAGTACATTACGAAACCGAGACTTACATATGTAGTGATTGATTGTAACAATCGCTTAAACAGCAACTTCAAATGTTATGGCTGGATTACAAAATGGTCACCTACATGTGTTTCTGCGATCTCTACAGTTGATTGCTACAAACGTCAGTCTTGGTCTTTTAATGTACTTTAAAAAAACGAACTTTCTAACTTCTTTTTTCAAGAAATTATTACTTTGCATGCATAAAAATATAGTTGTCCAATGTAACATAAGTGTTTTGATATTGGGGGCCAGTTGTCTGAAGATCGAGGGCTAGTTGTCTGAAGATCGGGGACGAGTTGTCTGGGGCTAATTGTCCAGGGGGCAAGTTGTCCAGATACCAAACATGGTGGTCTCTTGGCTGATGACAGTACCTCATAAGTTGCATAAATACATGTAGTGTGGTGCAAACTGCCGTTACTTATGAAAAACATGCGAATGTTTTGTGTAATGCCATTACTTAGTATAGAAATATTGCCATGAAGATCTTGCAATGTCTGTTATTATTTTGCCATAGAAGGGCGAAAGATTATTATTGATTACTTAATCTAATTTATTGCATGTGATATATTTTATGTTCACAATCTAGCCAATGTTCCCAAAAGAGATAGATTTTCAGTGGAAATTGTATTGAATAGAAATGAAACACCTTACTTGGTTTTCTGCCCTTTAAGGTCTATATAATCAACACTCTTTCATAGCAAGTCTTCACAATTCCAATGCATCCATGACTTGTTTATTTTGTGTCTCGGTGGACTGTGATACAAAGTCTGGGGCATAATGCAAGTAATGAATTAAGTAATCTGTTACCTTAGTTTTCAATATTACAAGAAAATTTTTCTCTCATACTAACTGTCAATGGATGGACCCAACATTAATTGGAAAGTTTACAGTAGGCTGACTGATGAGGCAAAAAAGGAGTGTAATAGTCACATGTTGAACATTGGCAGCTGTGGTTTACACATTCTTCACGGAGCATTTAAGGTTGGTGCTGTGGCATCAGGATGGCAATTAGACAGGTTGTTCTCTAACCTTCACTGGCTTTTTCAGGACAGTCCGGTAAGGAGAGAGGACTATACCAAAGTAACAGGAAGCTCACTGTTTGCTTTGAAGTTCTGCAAACATGGATGGTTGGAGAATGTCTTGGTTGCAGAACGTACACAGAGTATGTGAGACAGTGTTGTCAAGTATGTTCAGAGTGCAATGGCAGGGAAAGTTCCACAGCCACAGAATAAATCCTTTCAAACTGTACAAGAGTTTGTTGCAGATCCCTTTACGACTGCAAAAGTGGCTTTCTTCCTCTGAGTAGCCAAGCAAATGACCCCTTTTTTTGACACTCTATCAAACCGACAAGCCAATGTTTCCCTTCTTGGCTACAGAACTGTACAGCATGCTTGGGTGATGAATGAGAAAATTTATTAAGACCGCTGTTATCAGTGAAGCCAAAACCCCATTGAAGCTCACAAAACTCGACCCTGCTGACTCCAGCATTCATGCCTCTCATTCAAGATTGACCTGGGGTTTACAGCTGACAAGAAGATCAAGGAGTTGATTGTAAAGTCCACAGTTTCAGAGAAAAGAGTGCTTCAGTTTCAGATGGAATGCAAGGAGTTCCCTGTGAAAGAAGTTTGCAAACTGATTGCCAAAGCACCAATTCAGTGTTCCCTTGTAAGGAATATAACTTGCTTAGATACACTGAAGGAACATGATGAGTGACCATGATGTTTCCATCACAAAGTTCAAGAGAGTTTTGACTACCCTTGAAAATGCCAAGAAAGTTCTGGAAGGTAACTGTAGTTCCCTTTTGGAACTGTTTAGACAATTTATTATGGAAGTCCCCTCTTCTTCTCCATCAGGGTTCAAAGACTATGATCCTAACAATGACAGACTTGATTCCTTTCTGTATCTTCACGTGGGACAGAAGCAATCCTACCAATCATTGTGGAAAGTAGTCATAGACCTACATGACCAAGCCAGTGCTGAAAGAGGATTCTCAGTCAATAAGCAACTGGAAGTTGAGAACCTTCAAGAGCGCTCCTTCATTTCTCAAAGGCTGGTACAAGACTATGTACAAACTATGGGAGGTGTCTGCTGTTTCAATCAACAAACCTCTGCTCTTGTCAGCTGCAGGAGCTAGGCAGAGGTATTCATCGTATCTTGATGAACAAAAGAGGAAGAAAACCTCTGAGGGTGTAGAACTGAAGCGAAAGGAGCTAGTCAATGAACTTGACAAACTTAAAAAGAAAAGAAGGCATTTAGAAACTGATGTTGATGGTCCTGTTAAATCGGCAGATGAGTTTGCACAGAAAGCAGAGGATACTGGGAAACTTGAATGTGTGGATTACAAAGTCAAATAGTTTGAGGAGAACTGCAAAAGAAAAGGAGATGACTCACGAAGACATTGAGGACAAAATTGCAAATGTTGTGGCTGAACTAAAAAAAGACATAGATTTTGACTTGTCTGTTTTAGCCTGGTGCAATCGCTACTATGAGAAGCTGAACATCCTTTGAATTTGCAGTGCATGGAGTCCTTTATAAATTGAAAATATGTCCTTGAAAGTCCTTGAAAAGTCCTTGAATTTTTAGTCCAAAAAAGCGTACGAACCCTGTTACAGTTGTCCAGGAAAGAACCACTTGCAATACTAGCATTGTAGATGTGGGTAAGAGATAGAGCGACAGCATTCAAAGCTTGCTTTAAGGATTTAATTCCAGTTCCATCAAGTCCTGTGGCTTTATTATCAGGAATGTTCTTAAGATCTTCAACCACCTGTTTCACACTAATTGGCAGGGTGTGGAATATGGCTAGATCTGTTAAGATTTTGTTATAACATTTTTAAGTCCCCTCCTTTATGAAGTAAAAAACCTCTGATTCCATCATAAACAGTTAATTATTAAAGCAGTTATTGAAACTGCCATTAGACAGTCTTGTCTACTGCCACTGATTGCCTCTTAAACCAGTCTACTGATCTTATACCCTGGTGAATGAAATTTGAGCTCTCTGATGATATCAGTGCTCATACTGTAGTAAGAATTACCTACTTGTACATGATGCTTTATCACTGCTCCTTGATGATGCTGCCAGAGGCCTATCTGAAGGCAGTGAAGTGCACACCGAGGAGAGTTCATAATCTTCCATATGATGCAAAAGTAGGTTTCAGAGTGTGAAAACCTCTTTCATTGCTCCTATTCCTTGTCTATACCCAGCTTCCAGTTTATGACTTTCTTGGTTGGTTCTGTTGAACTTTGGTGGGTCTCCTAGAAGGGTAGAACTGAAGCAGCTGTTGTAAAAATGTAGATTCATTTTAAAAAAGATCTGTGCTCTCAGAGGTGATCTTTAATCTAATCAGACTTCCTGCAGTATTAACATCACCAAGCAGTATAAGATTCAAACAGGCATGACCACTCGTGTACATGTGTTACTCTTGATTTCGATTTTGACCCTCAATCTTCATGTGACGTGTTTGATTACACTTTTAAGTTCTCGTTTTTCAATGCATAATATATTCAGTGTTGGCCTTTGTTACGGCAAGTTCTTGTTTAAATCATTGCTTATTTCACTTGGCCCGTTCACGTCAGTAGGAGGAAATATCTGGAAGTTGTTAGTCCTTTTTTCATTTTCATTTCGTTTGTCAATTTTGTTAGATCTATTGTAATTTTTTCTTCTAGTTGAACCATCATTATTTTTCATCATTTTCATCATCACTTTCTACATGATTAGATGCGTTTAATTTACTCTTTGACAGTGAACAAGGAATAAATTTTCTCTTTAAAATCAACTCTTGGCTGGAGTCTACAAGCAGTCCATCAATAGTGTGGCTTAAGTTATGCACTTAAGAATTACAAGTTCAATCAAGTCCATTCCTGTTTGAGTTCTGTTTCTTCAGACCTGTAATTGAGCTTCTCATCTCAACTTTGAAAGTTTTGATGTTTTCAAAGCTTTATTGCAATGTAGTGCTCCTATGCCATCTGGAAGATCCGCCTCTGTCTGTTGAGTTTCAGCTCAACATTTCAACAAAGTGCTGCTTCTGTTGATCAGGGATTTTCATTCTTTTGCTTACTGGCATCTCAAATAGTTTTACATGTGAAAGCAGTGTTTTTTTTATTCTGGTTGAATCCCCCTCTCCCTTCTACTTATCATTCTTTTTAATCATAACCTCACTTATGTGCAAAACCAACCAAGATGGAATTGCTTATAATCCATAATAATAATAATGATAATGATGATAATAATAATAATAATAATAATAATAATGATAATAATAATAATTGACCTGTTGTCACCTTCAGTTGATAAAATAATGTTTGCACAACTAAGGTGGAGCTCTGAACTTGCTTTGTCTTCAGTGTTGGGTAGCACTTTAGTCATTGTTGCCTTAGTGGAAAGGTGATCGTAGTGGAGAGAGTGATGCAAGAACAAAAGAAATGATTTTCTGCAAGAACAGGAAAAAAACTAGTCATAAAGGAGGCATCTGTTTAAGAGAGGTGGCTGTTGGAGATTGAACTATGAACTTTTTGCTCATGAATAAATCACACATATATAGTGTACTCTAATGTTTTGTGGGATTTGAGAACATATAAGATTTTATATTGGAATAGTTATAGCAGCCAGAATCAACATGTGGATGCTCTTCTGGTTACTTTTGCAGAGATAATTATTGTAGTGTTAGACTCAGCCTTGCCGAGATTTCACCAGCTTCTGCCAATTGTCTGTAATCCTAAACTGAAGCTTGATTTTGTAACCATTCCGGATGATGCAGATATGGGCACTGCTGATTCTCTAAGATATATCAAGGACAAAATAGAGGTCAGTGCAGAGGTCTGTGCAGGATTTCATGAGACAAGTAACAATTTTCACTGTTTTTTGTTTTGTACTTGTTATGAAAGTTTGCACTGATCATGATCATTGATGATCAGTCATTGCTATTTAGACCGTGTTCATTTTAGGACTCAATCTTTTTCAGTATAATTAGGAAAGGAAAGTTGCAGACAATATATAGCATCAATGGTGACTTTCTCTCTTCCAGAAAGATGTTTTTGTTGTAAGCTGTGATCTTGTGACAGACATTGCTCTTCATCATCTTGCTGATATTCACAGGAGTCATGACGCAACTGTCAGTGCTTTTCTAGCTCCTGTTCTTCAAACAAGTGCTGATAGAGAATTTGCCAACAACCCCAAAGCCAAGAAGAAGACGGATAACACAGGTACAACTTACTATCTCCAATTATTGTGATCTTTCTGGCACAATTATTTTAAGTTTTTTTATTAGGAAAAAGGTTGCTCATATCAAAAATGTTCTGTTAATTTGATATAAAAATAGGTTAATATAAAAGATCCACCAGCAGCCCCTAATGAGTTACCCTAGGGGTTTCATTAAAGCTAAAAGGGCCAGGCACTAGGCAAATTGACCAGGTGTGAGGACAGTTTTGCCCACCTAGTTTGACCATTTGGAGGAAAGTTTATCTTATATACAGAAGTTCAGTTCAAAAAGTTTTGCTCGCCTGTGAAAACCAGTTGCCCTACTGCTGGAAATGTTAATGAAACCACTGTACCAGTGTTAACAAAATAAGTTTAAAAGAGGAGTTTTATGGTTCATGAAGTCCACATGAATGGAAGTTTGGTTGGATAAAAGAAATATTGTTAAGTTCTTCACAAGCAATCAAATTATAATGTCAGTGATATTGAGCTTGGTAGCAGATGTACACTTGGTGATTAAATTGAGTCAACTCTACTTCGGGGAGTCAAGATGATAAATTGTAAGGACAGAACAAATACAAATGACTGGAATTAGAGCTTGGTTGGTAGAATATTACAAAACTACAGTCTTATAAATGAAATCAATTTACAGGAACAAAGAAACAAATATGAAACACCCGATTGAGGTTAAACTGTCTCTGTGTAAATTACATGGTTTAGTTTCTGTAGTAAGAGTAATAACTTACTCCATCTCTGATGCTCTGACTTCTTTATTTGTAACAGATCAACATGACTACATTAGCATTGATTCTAGAGAAAGCAGGCTGTTATTCTTTGCATCAGAAGCAGATCTTGATGAAACCTTAGTGATTAGAAAACCACTTTTAAAAAGGTAAGGTATTAGGTGTTATTAGTGGAGTTGAATTGAAATTTGTACACAAAATACCTAGTGTCCCTTGCCTTTGGCAAGCAATAAGTACCTGATATCATCCCTTGACTCATTAACCTTTATTTTGTTTTAGATATCCTTGCATCAACATTGTGAAAAATTTAATGGATGCTCATTTATACATAATAAAGAAATGGATTGTTGACTACTTAGCAGAAAACAAGTGAGATTCTCTGGATTATTAAAGAATGTTTATTAAGACTCATTGCAGCAATATACAGAATGGCTGAATTACATAGCTATTTACAAACCTTTTATAATACTAAAATATAATACAATAAATCCAATAATACTAAAAGACATAATTGTACAAGCCACTAGGTATATTTATGCGTGACAAACTCTTGCGTGCGCTTGGTCCTACAAGTAGGACGTGTGGAGCAGCTAATGCCAGATCTAAGATTATAATTATGCACAACCTCTTCCTGTTTGGGGAGCATAAAATGCAAGGGGTGAGTCTCATTCCGGAGTCTATCAATATAAACCTGGCATAGATGAGTGCGTCTGTCATTTAGAATTGTTCAATTAAGGACATTTAACGCCTCGGTGTAATTCATTAAAGGAAAAATGATGCACATAGCCCTTTTCTGAATGCTCTCAATCTTGTAAGATAGAAAATCTGGTATATTTTGGCGGACAGGGGCAGCATATTCTAGAACAGGACGAAGAATGGTTCTATAAACCTTAGCCAGTGAAGTTGGAGGTGCACCTACCCTTAAAGAGTAAAGCCTTCTATTTCCCTTTTGTACTATAACTTCTACATAATAATTACATTCAGGTCATTGCTTACATAAATGCCCAGCAACTTATATGTCGTGACTCTCTCAACTGTGTTACTACCAATTACTATAGGATTCACAATAAAATTATGATTTTTCCATAAGGTCGTAGTAGTAGTGTTTGGTGTCAGGTTGTAATTAGTACCCGCTTTTGTATTACATCATACTGTAGATATTTTATTCATCTACATGTCTGTTATATAATTACTCGCGTTCTGTTACTCATTGATTGAAGATGGCATAAGCATGCTGAAACATGTCTCTCAAAAAAGTTGTCTATTTCTTACAAAATTGTGATTACTCATAAAATTAATCAGCATTTCCTTGCATTTATATTAAAAGAGCAGAACATACTAAAAGCCGAATATATTAAAAGAGCGGAAACAGTAGAAACATTCAAAACTAGGCTCAAGACATTTTTGTTTAAAAAACATTATTGTTAATTAATTACTTATTCTTATGTCTTAATAATCTGTTGTTAGGTGCATTGAGATTAGAAATGCACCCTATAAGCATCTATTTATTATTATTATTATTATTCATTTAGTAGGGTTCAATTTCATTCTGTGATGTTAAGAAAAGGCATAGATATCATTTGTAACAAAATTGAGTAGGCTGGCACTGTTCCTGGGGATTATTTCAAGGGCTGTGGTGTCATCAACAAACTTTATTCTAAGGTTCCAAGAGCGCAATAAATTATTTGTCATGATTGTAAACAAAATGACTCCTAACCTAGTGCCGGCTGTGGTATACCGCCTTTGGGAGTTTTCCACTCAGATATAATGTTGTCAATCCTTACAGCCTGAGTCCTGTTACACAGAAAGGCAATTATCTAATTTACTAGAACAGGGTGCACATTCATGTTCCTTAGCTCGTCAATCAGCACATTGTGATCAATCATATCAAAACCTTTAGAGTAGTCACCAAAAAAAAAAGCCTAGCACCACAACTCCCTGTATCCACTGTCTCATATACAGCCTCTAGCAAATAGACTAATGCATCAGTGGTGGAATGTCCTACTCGAGCAAACTGACGAGTGTCGATTATAGCTGCATTGTATTCAAGGTTTATCCTATATACTGTAATTCTAATTTGGATAGAAAAGCCTTGCTGTAAGGTCACTTGTTGCCTAATGCCTTCATAGTATGTTAACTGCTTATTGAGTTATAAATCACCTCAAATCAAAGATAAAAGGAGTAACCAGTGGGTGAAGAAGCTAGAAAAACTCAGAGCCTAAGTGGCTTCGAAGCTTAGTTGGAAACATTTTACTAGTTCCAGAGATCTTATTTTCCTATTGTTTTGATTTTCAAATGTTACTTTTTGAATATAACCTTGGATCTATCTTGTAGGTCAGTCAGTTCAATAAAAGGGGAGCTTATTCCCTTTTTGGTGAACAAACAGTTTCAGAAAAACAAGAAAGTGAACAATGTAGATCCAAAATCTGGTGGCACAGTTGTAGAGGAATTGTATAGTGGCAGACCAGGTAAGAGTTGATTAGTGACACATAATTATTAGCTGGTTTGCTATGATTTATTTGAGAGGCCAACACATACTTACCCCCAGTCATCCAAGTGAGAATTATCTTGTGTAACAATAACACTCGCATGAACTTCCTTGTCAAAAGCCTCCTTTTAATTCTAAGAGCTTCTGAACCAGGAGCAATGAACAATTTTTAGCTGTTAATATTTGTTTTGGTTTTGTTCAGATATCTATGACTTTGCCAAAGAGGATGATATTATGTCATATACAAGACAACTGTCATCATGGAGTGGCACACTGACAGACATTGATCACACTAACAGCATCAGATGCCATACCTATGTCATGGAAAATGGAATCTGCTTGCGAACAAACACTGTTCCACTTTATATGGAGGCAAACAGACAGGTCTAGAATTTTCTTAAATCACTAATTATCTTGTCCATTTTTTTATTCTTTTAATTGTTCCAAACTCATAAGTGGTAATTAACTCTAATTCCCAAATTTTTATTTATTTCAAGCTATCATTGACACTCTTTAAAAAGACTGGCACATAACCTCCCACAAGAGGTTTGGGATAAAGTTTTTGGATTTTCTATTTTTTTTCAAGTGAGTTTCCTGTCACTGCATTTCAGATATCATTATCTGGCCAGAAATCTCCAATTTTCAGAGAGTAAGAAATTATAATTTTAAGAATGCAGACTCTTTTAAAGTTGTTCCACATACCATGCTGCAAGACAGAATATGAATTTGTAGTTACCTGGCCATCTTGTGAAGTGATCTGTTAGCCAACAGAATATTTGATTGATTGAATGGTCTGAATTTCTGTCTCTGTGGCTGATAGAAGGTCTGGTTAGCAGATTGACAAATCAAATTAAAGATGGGTTAGTTGTCTGTTTACTGGTCTTTATGAGGTTTCTATAAAGCTCTAAGTGTTAAATTGGAATTTCTCATAGAGATGCTGTTAATTTTTTCAGATACCAAAGCTTCTTCCAGGGTTTACAGGCAAGGAGATTACTCTTGTTCACCCACTGGCTACAATTAAGCCGAAATCACAGGTATATAACATGTCAGGCAGTCAAAAGAGAGGTTGGGTATTCTTAGAGATAAAGATGCCATGAAGCAGTAGAGCTGTTGTGATATGATTTAACCCTCCTGCACTTAAACACATGCATTTGCAATTGTTTCCATCCTGCATCTGACAAAATCAATTAAAATTTGGTCACCAAAGTTTGTTGCTCTTAATTTAAAATTTTTGTTTAAGCCTTCCCACCACAGAAAAAGAATCTTTGTTTTCCAGGTGGGAAATGATTGCATGGTTGATGAGAGTGTATCTATTGGAGAGAAAGTTTCAATAAAGAAATCTGTCATAGGAAAACATACAGTGATTGGAGAAAGGGTCAAGATAAGCAATTCTGTGATTATGGATCATGTCACAATCATGGAAGGGTAAGGATGGCATTGTCAGGGGTTCACTCTAACCTGTAACCATTTGTTGATAAAGCTACCAGTGGACAGTTGTTAAATAATCTGGAAATCTAAACTGTTAAGAATGGTTTCATACTGAATACATATAAATTTGTGCTTTTAAATGTGTTTGCATGTCTTTTATCTTGAAATACTTTTCCCGACTTAATGTGGTTGAATACCCTTAAACTATAGTAGAATATTTATATTTTGATATTAAGATGATGTAGTGGACAGGATGAGTGACCAGGCCCTGATAAAGAATGTAATTTTTTTTTTCTGTCATTAGTTGCAATATACAGGGTAGTATTATATGTACAAATGCACATATCAAGAAGAATGTTAGTCTCAAAGATTGTCAAGTTGGAGACTCTCACACCATTTCAGAAGGAGGTTTGTATTTTGTTACCTGTTTTATTACTAAACGTGACAGTTTCTGATTGCCATAGGTGTTCAATGTTGCACTCAGGTGCTGTTTTACAAGGTTTTACATTGAGTCAGATGGAGTAAGCTTCAGTTTGGAGCTTTCACGTGAAGTGTGATTTGACTCATTGAAGGAAAAAATTGTTTAACTCGACACTAACAGAAATATATGTAATATCAAACTCAAATAATCCTTCTTTTATTTTTTGATCATGGATTGTTGTGACATGGAGCATTTTTACAGAAAATGTCATTTACACAATTTTTCTAGAGTAGTCGTAAAGGGGGCCATCATTGGTACCCCTTCTGAGAAGTAGTGAAGTAGTTAACAATATTACTAGATAAGCTTTTAGTTTACAGTGGGAAAATGTTATTTTGCTTCAGTCATATAATGACTGCATATTTATTTAAGTTTTTGACATTCTGTAGTGCATTCAAAACTATGTTAATTTGGAACCATCCCAAAAACTCAGCTGTTAGACATCTGCAGACCACCAAATGTTAGTGCTCAATGAAATAAGAGATTCCATTTGTTGCATATGACATGGTTTGTGGGACAATTTTACGGCATTGTGAGTCCCTTTTTAATCTTTTTAACTTCTGTTTTATTTTCCCAATTTTTTCCCAGCTGATTTGAAGGGAGAAGCACTGATTGCTGAGCAAATGATGAACTTTGAATAGCAAAAACAACCAGAGTATGATGGTTTTAAATTGAAGAAACAGTATCATTTTGATGTCTGCAAAAAAGAACACATTGGAATTGTTTTACACAGGGATTCCCATCTGGGACTCCCAAGCTGACTTAGTAAATAAATATACTGTTATCTGAATGAATTTGATTTTCTTCTTGGCAGTCATAATGTTACTCTAAGGTATGTACTATTTAACACAGAATTCCAGATTGTGTTAGATGTAATTCTGCCAATGGGAATTCAAGGAGACCCCTTGTGACCATGGTACAAAATGTTTGGCCTATTCCAGACTCTTGCTCTGAGGAGAAAAGGGGAAAAGCAGGTGATCTGTATTTGGCAGCTGCCAAGGAAAACTCCATCTTTTGCCCACCCACGTTTTTGGCATATTGGAGAATGACACAGGCATCCAGGTGTTTTACTGTTGAGATTATTTTTAAATTCTCAGCTCTCAGAAAAGAACTCAACTTTTAACTTCCGCCACCAAAATGAAACAAGTTCTTTTTGCAATATGTTTGCCTTTCAAACAACTGAACTCAAGCTTATTGATGTCCCTTTTCATTAAAAAGAAAACTTCAGTGTTGATAAACCTAGTTACCATGTGAACATGAAATTGTTATTATCATATGAAAAGAATGATATTAACAGTACCTTTGCCAACTTTGTTAATATCTGCATGGTCAACAGTTTTTGTCATCTATGGAAGAGATTATTAAAGAAAAACCCAGCATGCATGGTTAAAGTAATATTGATTTAAAAAGCATTCATTTGGAGTTTTTTACACTTTATTATTTTGGTCCTGTGGCATGTATGGTTGTAGTGTGAAAAGTTAAAGGGAACATGGATCAAACAAACTTGTTATACTTCGATGTCCACTTTATTTGGAGAACCAAAGTAAAGGTTTCAAGTTTCATTTATATGAACACAGCATTCATTATATTTAGGCTTTTATACATAGAGCTTTGAAGAGTAAGTTTGTCAAAGCACTAGTTTGGGATAATTTAAAGAAATCGACAGTTGTTTTAATGTAGAATCTAGTATACTTTATTGGAAACAGTTTTTAGCTTAAAAGTCTGCACTGTAATCAATATGCAACAGTTCTTCAGACACATTACCTCTTTTTGAGAACCAGTTTTATCAAAAATTTTTCCACATTGTTTAAACACTTAATTAAATATATAATGTTTTCAAACACTCCAACCTGAAGAAGGAGCTGTATACATTAGAAAAGGGTAGGACTTGTCTATGTGGAAGCACTCTGCCCTAATTCATGTTCTGTCAATTTTCTTGAAGTTAAAACTTTATAACTTATGTAAATTTTTCCCTCTGCTACTGGTGAGATAAATTGCCTTGGATGACAAACAGGTCTCACTCTCAGAGCAAATACCTGAATTGGAATGGTCCTAAAACTTCTGCCCCCGATATTGTCCACTTAAAAATTTGCCTTTGAGCAAATGAAACATGATCTCTTCATTTCTCAATAAATGACAGTCATGTGACCAAGTTTTGCACAAGGCCTACTGCATCAGCACTTCCATGCATCACAAGATGGTATGTCTGGGACAGGGAAAAAACTCTTTAGAATTTAATTAAGAAAAGTTACAGCAAAATATTTACAGATTTCCTTCCCTGGGCTACCTAATTCATGAAAGTCCAGCACACAATTCCCTCTTTTCTTATCTTTATTCCTTCATGGTAAACAGCATCTTCACTGTATCCAGCACCTTTGTGGGGGTTTCATTAAGGGCCTCGGCACCCGGCAAATTGACCGGTTGTGAGAAAAGTTTTGCCACCTGGTTTGACGATCTGGAGGAAAGTTTATCTTAAAGAGAAGTTAAGTTGAAAAAGTTTGTGAAAACCAGGTGCCCTCCTGCCGAGAACATTAATGAAACCCCTGTCTTCATTGGGTCCAGCATCTTCATTGTATCCAGTATCTACTTTAGTTTTACTTTAATTCCAGCTCTCATAGACAAAAGAACACGCTTAAATCTCAGTTTTTGTGGTGAAATGAAGTCTGACTTTGAATCCCAATGCAAAGGAGGATAAAATCCCAGTTTCTATGTCACTTTTCGTAGTCCTGATTGTACAATCTTATTTTAGCAATTTAATACGGTGAATTCCATATCATACTTAAATTCAGTCAACAGTCGTTCACTCTTCCTCATCTCTGATTCCACTAAGAATTTCTTTGAGTATTCTGTTAAATTCCCCGGCATTGTCCACGTGTATGTCATGACCAGCATTTTTCACAATGAACACCTCCACCGAAGACTTTTCTCGGATGCATTTTATCTCGTAAGCTGTTCGATGGTCAATGAAGGTTGACGATCCATACATGATTGTCATTGGAGTGTCTTCGGGCAGATCTTTCACTCGTTTAATCATTGGTGATTTCGCCCACATGAGTAAAATATTCATGTTTCGAAAGGCATCTTCTCCTGAAGGTCTTTGAGCGTTGCAGTGGTAGATGTACTCTAGCATTGCTTTATCTTTCCACAATTCTGAGGCTCTCTTATTTGTATCATACTGCGCCAGACGAGCTAACAACGGCCCAAATGGACCAGCAGCTCTTAATGGAGAAAGCACGTTGCATATGTTGACGATAAAATTCCCAAAATTAACCCACCTTGGTAGTAAATCAATTCGCTGTTCCACATCAGGGTGTCTGTCGACAATTCCACCAGGTAAAATAGCAAATCCCCATGCGTCTGACAGGATCAAATGTGTGATTCTCGAAGGATACTTCAACGCATAAGCCATTGCTAAATAGCCTCCAAGGCTGTGGCCAAGGAGGATCATTTTTTCAAGCCCAATGACGTTCCTCCATTCCTCGATGTAATGAACAAATTTTTCTTCTGTTTCTTCGTCATTTTTCACTAATTCAGGCCTTGAACTTCGTCCAAAACCAGGCAAGTCGAAGGCATATACACTACGCTCTTCACTTAGGTCGTTAAAGTTTTGAGCCCACCAACAGACACCACCAGACAAGCCGTGTATCAAGACAAGAGGAGGTTGCTTCGATGGTGACAGATTTACTTGTACTGTCCATAAATCTACATCTTGTCCTACACGAATAAAACTTCCAACCCATGGTCGTTTTATTCGCTTAAGGATGCTGCACTCGGCATCTTGGAGCTGTTCCTTCGAAGTCGGAAGCCAGTAACCTGATATCCAATCCGAAATTGATTTTATAAGATCGCACATGGCGAGAATAACTATTAGGATAATTTCAGAAAACTAAAATCATTAAAAAGTTCGTCAATATTTGGTTTGGTTTATTTACATCAACATAATTTGAATTTAATAATAACACGTGATCTCGACTCCCGCCAAAAGCGACAGGTGGACTAAGCGGTTCGCGGTTTAGTAAGTAGGGCGCATTTTATTATTAATCCTGCGAAGAAGGAAAAAAATAGAATTATTTTCTGCTTTTTAATTTGATTAAAATGGGATTTTTACGCTTACACAAATCGCGTTATCGTTCAATTTGTCGGTTGTAAAACGAGCAGGCTATATCACAGTTGGTTTTACTTCCCAGCGCACGAAAATAAACAAGTTTCTCTTGGTTCTTATTGACCAAGCCTGTTCTATCAAGATGGCTGGGTGTAAGCCTCGTTTTTTTTTACGTTTTTGTTTTATTTATTATTTTTCCTTTGCCACTGCAGTGTCTGCTAAGTGAGGGTTTTTCTCCCGCGGCAAAATAGACCTGAAGCCACACCCTGGTTGGTTCCTTATGAAATTGTGTTTACATCTCTCTTTAGTATCTACACAATCAGTGATCTTGGCGTTTCAAGCAAACTGATTGGTTTGCTATCTCGGGCTAATTAGTATATACTGAAACAGTGGATAGCGTTGAAGGCGCGCTCTGATTGGCTACTCAAACTCCGAATATCCTTTGCTATTTACCTCCGAGCAACTCGGGAAAAAATGGCGTGCCGGTTTGCATCCGTGACAAGCGAAGAAATCACTCAAATAACGACGAAGCAGTCCCTGAAAACACAGAAAGCGACTAAATTTGGTTTGGCCGTGTTTAAAGATAATGGTAACCGGGAGTTTATCGATAAAAACCAATGAAAAAGGTTTTGTTTACAAATGCAAATTAATCTTGCGTAACCTCACTTGTTCACTTGAAAATAAAAGTTAAATGGTATTTTTCAGAGAATGGTTTCAAATACAGAAAGAGTTTGCAACACCATTTGAAGGAATGTCGCCACCAGAGCTAAACAAATGTCTTCAGAAATTTTATCTGTCAGCGAAAAAACGAAACGGCAGGTTTTACATAAAAAAATCACTTACCGCGATCCGAGCCACGTTGGATCGTTACGAGCGGGAAAATGTTGGAATTGTTGCTGGAATGTATGAATTAAAATCAGTTTTTGGTGGAGTATATTATCTCACTGTTTTAGTATATACTAAAACAACTATTCACCTCAGTGTCGGTGGTTAGCGGTGAATATTTACCTCGCCGCTTCGCGGCTCGGTAAATATCCACCACTAACCACCTCCACTTCTGTGAATAGTCAACAATGTACACCTCTGAGCGAGTGGATAATGTGAAAAAAAAAATGGCGGGCGTAGACTCGCGTTTCGCTAAAGTTTCAGAAGTAGAAATTGCCTTTAAATGGCTTCCTTTTAATTTTGTCGAGATCACTTCGTGTGTATATACTAAAACAATTATTCTTTTCAATCTAGGTGAATAGTAGTTTCGGGAATATTTACCTCTCCGCTTCGCGGCTCGATAAATATTTAGTCACTATTCACCTCGATTTCAAGGAATAATTGTTAAATAGCCGAGATCCGGGCCTTCGTTTGCTGTGCATGATGGTCAAAGATATTGTGGCTACGAGCCACTAATTTATGTGCGGCGTTACGACGACAAGAAGAGGCGACTGTGGGCACTGGTCTCAGCGCGCAAGCTTTTCTCTCAAAACTTCAGCGAGTGGGGAAGACTTGTAAGAGAGATTCAGCACCGCGTTTACGTGAAACGTGAACGGCAAGAGAGACAAAGAACCCTTGTTTTTCTCGCCATTTACCGTTTCTACGTCATAGTCACCTGTTTCGCGTTTGCCATGTAGGTAAGATTTTCTTCTTTTTTTCTCTCACAGAGTAGAAATTAATTGCCGGATAAAGGACACCAAACT